AGAACGCTGGCTAAAGTAAAGGACGGCTGCGATGATGACGTTTCTTAGGACACCTTTGGATTTAAAATGAAAACAACTACTCTCTGAGCAGCCCTGGCACCAGTACTATTTTAAATTGCATTGGTTAGTGCAAGTGTATTACCAAATAATACTGTCTTCCAGGTGACCTGTGAAAATGGTTCGCTACTCTCTTGACCCAGAAAACCCCACAAAATGTGAGTACAACATAACTCCTTTTTCTTTTTGGCCGTGAATGTAGAACCCGAAATAAACAAAAACATTTTTATTTTCTAGCATGCAAATCAAGAGGCTCAAATCTTCGCGTTCACTTTAAGGTAGGGAAATTATGACTAAGATCTAAAGTTTTACCAGTATTAGTAGCTTTTGCTTTAATAAAGTAGCTGCGATGATGCCTTTCTTAGGACACCTTTGGATTTACCATGAAAAGGAATAAATTCTGAGCAGCTACCTGTTATGTAGAAATTGATCATCAGGGCATAACAGGCACTTTGATTTAGCACTTGAGAAAGTAAAACTACCAAAAACTGCTTGAAGGCAGTATGCAAGTCAGGGTGGGACCCAACATTATAAATAAAAGATGGTGGAGGGGCCAGGGAGATAGTTTAGTAGAATAAGCACTTGCGCAAGGGCCTGAGTTTAATCCCCAGTTCCACCCACTCCCCAAAAAAGGTGGGATTTTACTTAGCTACAAAGTCATCACAGTTTGCTGTAAAAATCAATGCTTTGACGTGGTTAACCAAAACTTTATTACTTGTTTAGAACACGCGTGAAACTGCCCAGGCCATCAAGGGTATGCATATCCGAAAGGCCACCAAGTATCTCAAGGATGTCACGTTAAAGAAGCAATGTGTACCATTCCGGCGTTACAATGGTGGAGTTGGTAGGTGTGCCCAGGTGAGAATTGTTAGTTGTTGAAGAGAGATTAGGTAAGATCTGCCTTTTATTAGGCACTTTCTGGTTGCAGTGATGACCAACTTAGGACACCTTTGGATTAACCATGAAATAAACCATGTTCTGAGCAACCATGATGGTGGACAAAATAATTTGTCTTGTCTTGTGTGTTGATACAAAACAAGGAAAATGTCTATAATTGCTTCCCTTTATTTTCTTTCAGGCCAAACAGTGGGGCTGGACACAGGGTCGGTGGCCCAAAAAGAGTGCTGAATTTTTGCTGCACATGCTTAAAAATGCAGAGAGTAATGCTGAACTTAAGGTACCCAGATCCATAATAGCTCGGTGTACTTGCAGTTTAGATGATTGTTTCACCCTTATGTCCTTGGTTGTCTTGGTTCTCAGCAAGTAGATCATGTCAAATTTTTTTGCCTAAAATCTTTTTATAAACAAGCCTGGTCTTCTCCCTGCTTGTAGGTATTATTCCTAGTCTGGGGGTGTGTGGTAGAGCATTTGGTCCATAAAGTTTCGGGAACATAAAGTATTTAAACAAATGCCCGTAATTTTGCTGTGTTGCAGACTTTTTTGGTAATACGGTTATCATAGTGATAGCCCTATTTTTTGTTTTCTTTTTTTGGAGAACTGGGGATTGAACTCAGGCCCTTGAGCTTGCCAGGCAAGCGCTTATCCTACCGAGCTATCTCCCCAGCCCCTCTTTTTTTAATATATATATTTAGTATAGTCTTGCTACAGATTGGACTCCTAGTGATCCTCCTGTTTTCATCCTCCCAGGAGCTGGGTGTGGTAGCATACCCAGTGTGATAGCCCTATTAATATGGTTTGTTGCCTATATTTGTAAGGAAAAGAAATGGTAAATTTGAGGTAAGAGTTAACAGTGGTAGTTCATAAGGCACGTTTCTCCATTATCCATTTGCATCTGATAGTCTAGTATCCTGATTCTAGTGTATGTGCTGCCAAAGGGAGCATTAAGAGTATAGTTCAGAGCTAGAATTTCGTTCTAAAGTTTTATGGCTTTACCTTATCTTGTACCTCTTACTCATTGATGACCTTTAGGGTCATTCACTCAACATGCAGAGCCTGGCATGGTGGCATAAAGTTGCAGTTACTGAAGCTGGAGGATTGTGATTTTAAAGCCAGCTTACAGCACAGTGAGACCCTGTCTCAAAAACCCTGGAGCAGTAGTACACACTGGTAATCTTCATCTTGTTCAATTAGGCAACAGCGGCTCAAAATGAAGGGCCAGGAATACAGCTCAGTGCTAAAGTATTTGCTGTGCATGTATAAGGTCCTGAATTAAATCCTCAGTACTGCAACAAAAGAACCCTACCCACTTTGTTTGCTTGTTTTTGAGATAGGGTCTTGGCTGTGTAGGTCAAGCTGTCCCAAGTCCTGAGATTATAGGAGTGTACCACCGTGCCCAGCTTGAAAAAAAGCATTTAGTGCATTCAATTCAGTGATAACTCTGATAACTCGGGTGCTAGTTTCATTAAAGGGCTTGTGGCATGATTGGGAATCTGTATTGCCAGTGGCACAGTTGTGGTGCCAAAAGTTACTGTTCTGCGTGTCCTTTAAGTTTTTTAAACCTGACTTTTATCCTTTTTTTTTTTTTTTTTTTTTCTGATTTATCTTTTTTCCCAGGGTTTAGATGTAGATTCTCTGGTTATTGAACATATCCAGGTGAACAAAGCACCCAAGATGTGCCGCCGTACTTATAGAGCTCATGGCCGGATTAATCCATATATGAGCTCCCCCTGCCATATTGAGATGATCCTTACTGAAAAGGAACAAATTGTTCCCAAACCAGAAGAGGAAGTTGCACAGAAGAAAAAGGTAAGCAACTTAGTACCTCAGTTTTGTTTGTATATAATACTAGAAATACTTGGTTGCTGTGATGACTTATCTTAGGACACCTTTGGAATCACCATGAAAGGAAGCTGTTCTGAGCAACCTTTTTATTTTTATTTTAACTTTAGTGACCCTAGTTTGTTTATTGAGTAATAATATGTTTGATAACAATTAGCTATGTATCACTTTTAAAGTGCTAATAAGCATATTTTTAGCAAATGATCATGTTCAGTTCGTTAAGCCAAGAAAGCACCTGAGAATGATTCTGTAGTTTTTACAATCAACTTCTATTAATGTTCTCACTTAAGTATCCTCTCCTTGCTCTTGGGCCGTTAGTCTTCTGCAAAGGTTGAAACCCTCCCAGTACTTACTGTGGGTTTCTCCTAAAAACTTAATGTTTGTTTTTTTTTTCTTTCCTCAGATATCCCAGAAGAAACTGAAGAAACAAAAACTTATGGCACGGGAATAAATTAAGCATAAAATAAATGCAAATAAAATTAATGTTGTCTGTTAACATTTCATTTTTGTATTTTTAGGGAAGGGCTTACAGGGTGTTCAGGGTCTCACTACTAGATCAGACTCCTAGTGATCTGCCTGTTTACAGGTGAGCGTGCTAGCATGCCCAGTCTCAGGCGCTTTAATCCGCTGAGCTGTTTGGCTAGCCCTTGTAAACATTTTAGGTGTCCTTATCAGATGGATTAACTGGGCTTAATTTGACTAAAACATAGTTTGTTGTGAGTTTTTTTACTTTTTGAGATGGGATATTGACTAGTCGGTGGTGGCAAACCTTCTAGAGCTTTCAGTGATGTAAACAAACCCAGTGCAGCACACATGCCATGTGTTCACAACTGATAGGCTGACTAAACAGGAAATGGAATAGGGAAATTCCTGAAAACATTCTGGCTTAGTATCTTTACCAAAATTTAGAGCACAGTTCACTCATTTAAATGCAGTGGACTGGTATGGTGATGTGAACCTGTAATCCATTGGGAGAGCTGAAACAGGACTTCTGAGTTTGTGGCTAGCCTGGACTGTTTAGTGAAACCCTGTATCAAAAACAGGCTTGAGTAGTTAAATGTGCACAGGGGATTGAAGCCAGCCAGGGCTATTGTGCCGAGCTGCAAGGTATAAGTCACCTAGACAGATTTGTATTCCTACTGAAACCTGAAGTGCAGAAATTATGTAAATGTGCCTATACTGTGTTTCATGGATGTTCTGTATATATTTTTCAAAAACAATTGAGACTGGGCTGGCGAGATGGCTCAGTGGTCTAAAGCCCCTACTTGGAACAAGCTTGGCAAAGCACAGGGACCGCGGTTCAATCCCCCAGCACCACATGCCAGCCGGCCCCGCCCCCTGGTGGGCTGAGGTGGCCACACACACACACACACACACACACAATAAATGTTTAAAAAATTAAAAAAAAAAACAATTGAGACTGAGGTGAGCTTGGACTCCGCAGGTTTGGGAATGATGCTATCTCCAAAATGCCTGGGTTTGGGGCTGGTGAGATGGCTCAGTGGTCTAAAGTACCTACTTAGAACAAGCTTAGCAAAGCACAGGGACCGCGGTTCAATCCCCCAGCACCACACGCCAGCCAGCCCCGCCCCCTGCTGGGCTGAGCTGGCCACACAAAATTAAAATGCCTGGGTTCGCTATAAAGTTTGAGGTGATGTCAGGTGTTGCAGGAGCTTCATGAAGTTGGCAGTCTTGAGAGCTGCAGATTAGGTACTTGATGCAGGTAACATCCTGGTGGTCAGGCCTTTGAGACAAGGTCTCACTAAAATTTCTGTCGGGCTCGTGTTTGACAACCTGTTGTTAGCCAATAGCATCTAACTTGGTAAGGACCAGCGGTATTAACACTGAAGTCCCTTGATTTAAAAATACTTGTTTTAGCAAACAGCCAAACCACAACTTCGTCTGCAAACATTGTATCCATGTAGGCCGTGAAACCTATCCTGTGGGTGCTGGCCCACTGAAGTGGATCCTTCTCAGTTTACTAGCTCAGTTTTCCTTTGAGGAGCGCAGGTTCTCGCCCTAGGGAACGCGGACTGCTGCCTCCGCCAGCCTTACCTAGGTGTCAACTTTACGACCTGTACGTCCGTCCGTGTGCTGACGTAACGTGCCTTTGTTGGTCCCTCGAAGGTGACTATTGGCTGAGCAGCGCTAGCGTGCTTTGTCGGACCCTGCGAAGATGCCCATTGGCTGCACGCCTCTCGTCCCTCCCACCGGAAGTGCAGCGTTTGCCTCCTGGGCTTCGTGGGTGACTTGAGGTGCAGTTGGAAGGTTCTGTGGGGTCGGGCCGGGTTGGGCTCTATCCTCTTACGTTTCGAGTGGTTCGAAAGGCTCCAGAGCGCCGTGTTCACGCGGTCCCGGGCCGGTGCGCGACTCTTCTGGCCGCCCAGCCTGCCGCAGCCCCCAGCCCGAAACACCGCGCCGGACTGTCACGGTATGCCTTGCTCCCTCGCGTGCCCTGCCTCCCGGCCTCCTCTGCCCGTGGCGCCGGCCGTTCTGCGCCCCGCCGCCCTTGGTGCCTCCATGTACGTTTCCTGTTGTGGTATTTATATTTTTATAAATACCGCCGTGATCCTTGCGGTTGCTCCTGCCTGTGGCTCCGTTTCTCATGGCGCCTTTGACTCGTGTTCCTTCCAAATGGCTTTTTACGTAGTCTTGGGCTAAGTCTAGTGAAAGTGGATGACTCTACAGTGACTTAATCCATTTTGTTTGCTTGGAAAATAGTTAAAATGATTAGTTTCTCCGCTCCCCACCTTCTAGGCTTTTCTAACCCGTTGTCAGTGTGTAAAATAAAACGTTGAAACATTTATGAGGATGAGATAAATGCAAATAACTTCTTTTGAACAAAGCTAAAGTTTTATGAAAACCATGATTGTGGTTTGACTATTTGCATTTGTTTTTACTAACTTATTTACATGTGGGGAAACTTATTTAAGACATCAACTACAAAGATAAAAAATGAATTATAAGAGACAGAGTCTATGGGGCCGGGGAGATGGCTCAGTAGGATAAGCGCTTGACTGGCAAACGCAAGGATCTGAGTTCAATCCCCGGTTCCGCAAAAAAAGAAAAAAAAAAAAAAAAAAAAAAAAAGAGAGAGAGAGAGTCTCGCCATGGAGTTAAGGCTGGCTGTGAACTCACTTTGTAGCCGCCAGCTGGACTCGAACTCACAGCGATTCTACTCCTTAGCCTCTTGAGTGCTGGGAATACAGGTATGTGCCACCATGCCCAGTTTGAAGCTTGTTTTTTAAAGTAGGCCATCCTACTTGTACCTTTCTGGACATTGAAGCTAGGGCTTTGCACATGTTGGACAAGTGCTCTAACACTCAGCTGTGTATCTCCAGCCCTTTTCAGAGTCTTGCTAAATTGCCCCTGCTTGTCTCTATTGGAATCCTTCTAACTCAGTTCCCCAGGTGCTAGGATTTTAGTTGTGTGCACACAGATTTGAGTAAAATTTTCTATTATTCAGCACATCTTAAATTATGTCCTTGTAAGGAAAAGAGGTCTGAGGGTGTAGCTCAGTGGAAGACCACATACCTTGCATGAATATTGACCTAGTTCAAGCTGGGGTGGTGGGAGGGCGGGGAGGGAAAAGAGAAAACAAAGTGTATCAAAGGAGAGTTGTTGCCTGGGAAAAGCCAGATGATTTTTATCCTAGGAATCTTACAAAGTAGTATCTTGGTAAGTTTCCTATTACAGAATTTGTCTTTAGTGTTGAAAGATTTGGCAAATTGATAGTCAGATCCTGAAGCCTAGAAATTGGGAGTTTATTTATCCTAAGTGTTCTGTATATCTAAAAGGAACGTAAGTCATAGTGTGTTGTACCTCCCTTTTTTCCCTCCCTCCCTTCTTTCTGTCTTTCTCTCCTCTCTTTGAGACTGCATTTCACTGTTCAGGCTGGCCTTGAGTTCCCTTTGTAGCCCAGGCTGATCTCAAACTCCCCAAGATCCTTCCTCAGCCTCCTGAGTGCTGGGATTACACCTGTGAGCCACCATGCCCCACTATACCTCCCACTTCTTTATCTGAGAGTACTCAGTCTCCCTATTTGTGTGTGTGTGGGGGGGGGTGTTAATTAGTTGGTGTTTGTAAGCTAGCAGCTACTATCTGTTTTCTCTTTATTGTCAGATTTATGACGGGGAGCAGTGATTGGATAGGTTTGGACATTGGCATCTCACCATTCGTGTCTACACCTGTTGTTCCTTTACCTTGCTAATAGAATATTCATATATTTTTTAACTGATTGAAATTTTTTCACTGTAACTTTGATACCTTAAGTTAGGTAAAGTCCTTCAATCAGTAGTGTAAGGTGAACTAATTTTTACTTTATCTGTATCAGCAATTTAGGACCTCGAGCCTGTGACAATGGTGTGCATTCCTTGCATAGTCATTCCAATTCTGCTCTGGATCTACAAAAAATTCCTGGAGCCATACATATACCCTCTGATTTCACCTTTTGTTAGTCGTATATGGCCTGGAAAAGCTGTACAAGAATCCAGTGATAAAAATAAAAGCCAAGTAGACTGTAAGGTAAGAATTTCAGATGCCTTGAATAAAGTGAAGGGGTGGTACTTGAGTAACAATTTCAGAAGGACAAATTTTTAGAATATGAAGCTTCAATAATTTGTCAGTAACATTTGGGTTAAGTTTTTCAACTAGACCTCTGGTGAATGAAGTTATCCCTTGCCTTATGACCAAGACAAAAATTTGAGGATGAATATTTAGGTAGTTATTGTCTTTAGCATTGGTAGTTATTGGGTTCAACTTTGTGTTCCACTATGCTTGTTTCATCAACCTACACATTTCTGGAACCAGAATTGTTTCATTCTTGTTTATTTTCTGTTTCTAAAGAGAGTGTAGAGCTGGGGAGATGGCTCAATAGAGTAAGTGCTTCCCTGGCAAGCTCAAGGGTCTGAGTTCAAACCCCAGTTCTGCCCCCCAAAAAAAGACCTTAAAAAATAAAGAGAGTGTCTTTTGGGACCAGGGAAATGGCTCAGTCGCAAGGTCCTGAGTTCAATCCCCAGTACTGCAAAAAAAAAAAAAGAGTCTCTTACAATGAATACTTTTTTTGTAATAATATATTTTTTTGGTAATAATTCTTAAAAATGTTTCATTTCAGGGTGCAGATATAAGCGGATTACCAACAAAAGGACCACCAGAGATCTCTGATAAAAAGAAAGACTAATGCCATTTTCCCACAGGAGCTCAATTGTTTTAAAAATGGACCTGACAATATGAAGCACCTTCTTTGTAATTATCTCTGACCTTTTTCTCTGAGACCAGAATTCAGGGTAGACAGTTTAGATATTCACCTGATACTAATCAGGAAATGTATTTATATTTAAAATACACTTAATTGTATTTAATGACCTCATTCCTAGTTCCTTGTTCATTAAAGTAGCTCATTTCCATTAATGCCATTTTTAACAGTATGAACAAATTGAAGGTTTGTGCAGTAGACACTTGGTTACTAAATCAGTACTTACAATCCTTGAGCCTCTCACCTATTTTCATATGAATTTGACTGCTATTGTACTCTAATTTCTGTGTACTTTTTAAATTTGAGTGCTATAAATTATACCATGAAATGGATGACAGTGATATGAAACATAAAGGTATAATTACTGTCCAACATAGTGAAGCAGTTTGTTCATGAGAATGGTAGTTATTATTTATTGCTCTGGAAAAGATAGGTGAAAATAGGAAACTTACTTGAAAAATGAAGCATCTTCTACACAAATTTCCATTGTATAAATTCTTTGTTGCATTTCTTCCTACAAATGTATTAAACATTCAGTTTATCTAGTGGCTCTTTATCTTTTTAAAGTCATTATTTAAAAGGCAAATTTTCTGGGCCGGGTGATGGCTCAGTGGAATAAGCGCTTCCCTGGCAAGCACAAGACCTGAGTTCAATCCCTG